GATAATGAATGAATGCCTTATGTTCATCGTTTTCAATTCCTATTCCATGTTGATAGCAATATCCAAGGTTTTTTATTGCATTGGCATTTCCCATTTCAGCAGATTTTTGAAAATGAGTGAATGCTTTATGTTCATCCTTTTCAATTCCTATTCCATAAAAATAACGGCACGCAAGGTTATAAATTGCTTTAGCATTTTCATTCTTGGCAGATTTTTGATAATGAGTGAATGTCTTATGTTCATCCTTTTCAATTTCTATTCCATTTTCATAACAATGTCTAAGGTCATTTATTGCGGTAGCATTTCCCATATCGGCAGATTTTTGATAATAAATGATTGCCTTATGTTCATCCTTTTCAATCCCTATTCCATGTCGATAACAATATCCAAGGATATAAATTGCACTAGCATTTCCTATCTTGGCAGCCTTTTGATAATGAATAAATGCTTTATGTTCATCCTTTTCAATTCCTATTCCATAAAAATAACAGTACGCAAGGTCATAAATTGCTTTAACATTTCCATTCTCGGCAGATTTTTGATAATTAATGAATGCCTTATGTTCATCCTTTTCAATCCCTATTCCATTTTCATAACAATATCCAAGGTTATAATTTGCAGCAGCATTTCCCATCTCGGCAGATTTTTGATAATGAATGATTGCCTTACATTTATCCTTTTCAATCCCTATCCCATGTTGATAACAATATCCAAGGTTATTTATTGCATTGGCATTTCCCATTTCGGCAGATTTTTGAAAATAAATGAATGTTTTATGTTCATCCTTTTCAATTCCTATTCCATAAAAAGAATAGTATGCAAGGTTATAAATTGCTTTAGCATTTCCATTCTTGGCAGATTTTTGACAATTAATGGATTTCCTACGTTCATCCTTTTCAATCCCTATCTCATGTTGATAGTTGTATCCAAGCTTGTTTATATTTGCCGAGTTTTTATTTCCCATTTTACCGCTGAATATGTTAAAAGGGCAAAAATACGAGCTGCATTTTAAATAACTCTTTTAGTAGCACATATCCTATTATTACGATGCACCATAAGTAAACAAAATGACATGTTTTTGATTTAATGTTCTCGTGTTATGTTTTAATGTTTACAATACAGCTTGTAGATTGTTACTACAAAAGGAGGTCCGCTAAAACCTATAGAATTTTACATGCGTCACTTGACCTTTAATTTACAACACAGATTAATTAAATTAATTAGTAATTAATTTAACTACCGAGCTTTAGGGGTAGTACTTAGATCTGGTCATCTGTTTATCTGAATGTAAGTAGATAAAATACTTAATTCGAATAATTTATCTAATCGAAATATGAATTATAGACAATCTAGAATCTCGGAAATTTTCTTCTTTCATCATCACAAAAATCATGCGGTCACATCTTTTTGCAAAGCGCTGTTTGCAAAATGATGTAAAATTTGTAGATCACCGATTGTTCGATTATAGGTGATTGTATGTAATTGCCATCATATGGTTCTTAAAATTCATAATTTTGACTTTGCCTTTTATCGAATAGAGAAATATAAATGATAACTATAATTATGGATTGCTTCGTGCAAATATATATTACTATTCTGATGCTGCAGTCTTAACAGTTTCGTGTAATTTTTATATTAAGAATTTGTTTTTTCTGGTATTTAAGCTAATTTTCAACTATCATGGCTATCATCCTGACAACTAATCTGCACATTTTGGTTACTAAATTAACAATATTTTCCGCGAACATTATAAAGCGCTTTTCTATGGCATAGATAATTTTATAAATTAAGTGTCTAAAGTTAGCAAAACCAGAAATTACAGCGGGAAAAAACTGCACCTCTTAAATATATCCCAAAGATACACATATAACGTATAACCATACCTCTTGCACAGAAATAAAAAACTTTAAAAAAAATTAACGGTACTGTATATTGAATATACGTACTGTATGTATCTTGGCATTTAAATTTGTAATTATTAACCTTTAATTGTGATTAATCAATTGGATATTAATCGGTTAACCGAACAAAATTCATCTGATACTTTGTATATACAACTTATCAAAAAGACATTTGGAGATAATGTGCGTAATTTTATATAGAGCTCTCACTTGTACGCACATCGTCCAGGTAATATTCAGGAAGATTATTATAACATTTAGCCCTAAGTTTGAACAAAGAAAAGATTTCACATCCCGTATATTCGCAAAGGAAATCCCATTGGTGCAAATATTTTAATTAAGGAAGTTTTAGTAAAAAAAACTCATTTAATATGAAGGTTTTATTCAATTGTAATAAATACATAGACTGCCTAAAAGAATTGTTTAACCACAAAAAGATATATCTAACTAAATCACTTTGAATTTTTCAAATTTATATTTATTAATAAATAGATTAGTCGTTTAAAACAATTAATCACAAAAAGTGATATCTAACTGAATTTCCTCAGAGTTTGTCTTTGGATATGAGCATTCGAATTTTGATGAATTATCAAAATCCGCAAGTGATTTATCATATTCCTTTATGTTAAAATAAATTATTCCACGCTGTCGTAAAGAGAACGCATTTTTTGGATCAATTCTTAGTGATTTTCTTAAATCTGCAAATGATTCTTTATATTTTTCGATTTTATAATAGACAGCACTACGATATCCTAATGCAAATGAATCTTTTGGATCAATTGCTAACGATATACTTAAATCGTCAAGTGAATTTTTGAACTTATGAATCATATAATAAACTGCACCACGATTTTTTAATGTAAATGCATCATTTGGATTCATCTTGATAGATTTATTTAGATCAAGAATAGATTCAAGATAATTTTCCGATATTCTATAAATTGATCCACGATTTCCTAATGCAATTGCATTATCTGGTTCAATGCTCAATGATTCATTTGAATCCTCAAGCGATTTTTCATATTTTCCTGTTTCAAAGTAAATTCTTCCACGATATCCTAAAGAATCGGCATTATTTGGATCAATTTCTAATGATCTATTCAAGTCTGCTAGTGATTTATCATAATTTTTCATGTGAAAATAATTTATTCCACGTTGTTGCAATGCATATGCATTATCCGGTTCAATTTCCAGCGATTTATTTAAATCGTCAAGTAACTTCTTATATTCTTTAAACTTGCAGTAAATCATTTCTCGATTTTTTAATGCATAACTTTGTTCAACTTTTAATAATTTTTCTAATTCATAAGGTATCTTGTAATAGTTTATTTTAATTTGTAATGATTTTTTAAAATCTGTGAGTGATTCATCATATCTTTTCAAGTAATAATAAGTTATACCACGTTGTTGCAACGTAAATACATTATTAGGTTTAATTTTTAACGATCGATTTAAGTCATCAAGTGATTTATCATAATTCCCAAACTTGCAATAATATATTCCACGAAATCTTAATGTAAAAGCATCATTTGGCTCAATTTCTAACGATTTATTTAAATCAGTAAGTGATTGAAATATGCCCTTCTCATTATAACCATAGATATACCAGAGTTTAAATAATTCAATCGATTCATTTAAATACATCAAAAGATAAATTGCACCACGATTTTTTAATGCAAATGCATCATTTGGTTCTATTTCAAGAGACTTATTTAAGTCTGTAAGCGATTCATCGTATTTTTTCATTATTCTATAAACTGCACCACGATGCTTTAATGCAAATTCATCGTTTGGGTCAATTTTAAGAGATTTATTTAAGTCTGCAAGTGAGGCATCGTATCTTTTCATCATTCTATAAATTACACCACGGTTTCCCAAAGCAACAGTATTAGTTGGTTCAATTATTAATGATTTATTTGAATCTTCGAGTGATTTTATATATTTTCCTGTCATTAAATAAGTCCTTCCACGATATCCCAAAGAATAAGCGTTTTTTGGATCAATTTCTAATGATTTATTCAAGTCTTCAAGTGATTTACAATATTTTTTCATATAATAATAAGTTATACCACGTTGTTGTAGTGTTAACGCATTATTTGGTTCAATTTTAAGTGAATTTTTTTAAATCTTTAAGGGACATCTTGTATTTCTTAGTCTTACAATAAGCCATTCCACGATATCTTAATGCAAATGCATCATTTGGCTCAAGTTCTAATGATTTATTTAAATCTTCAAGTGGTTTTTCATATATGTTGTTGTTATAATTTCTAACACGACTGCGGCGACGATATATGTACCAAAATGAGTAAAGTTCAAATGGGTCGCTTAAATCTTCAAGAGAATCTTTACTCATCATGAGATAAGTTGCACCGCGATTTTTTAACGCAAATGCGTCATTTGGTTTTATTTCAAGAGATTTATTTAAATCTTCAAGTGATTCATCATACTTTTTCATTATTCTATAGATTGCACCACGATTTTTTAATGCAAATTCATCATCTGGTTCTATTTTGAGAGATTTATTTAAATCTACAAGCGATTCATCATACCTTTCCAATATTCTATAAATTGCACCCCTATTTTTTAGTGCAAATGCATTATTTGGATCGGCCTCAAGATATTTATTTAAATTTATTAATGATTCGTCATATCTTTTTAATATGCAATAAATTTCTTCACGAAGTTGTAATGTAAATTTATAATTTGGTTCGATTTTTAAAGATTCATTTAAATCTTTAAGAGACTCTTCATATTTTTTCATCTTAAAATATGTAAATCCACGAAATTTTAATGTCCATACATTATCTGGTTCAATTTCTAATGACTTGCTTAAATCTATTAATGATTCTTCATATTTTCCCATCATATGATAGGTTTCTCCACGTAGTCGTAATGCGCATACATCTTTAGAATCAATTTCTAAAGATTTATTTAAATCTTTAACTGATTCAGTATATCTTTTCATATTAAAATAAGTTGCTCCACGTTGTTTTAATGCCCATAAATCATCGGGTTTTATCTTTACTAAATTATCAAAAATTTTAAGTAGATCATCATATCTGTACATCTCAGAATATGGTCTTGTAATGGCTAAAAAATTTAGATTCCGTCTATTATTTAGGACATTAATTTTAAGCCTTGGATAAATTTTTAAAAGTGTATCTTTCTTTTCTATTGAAGGACTTGATTTATCACGCATACATAAAATAAAATCAGAAATACGATTACTTTTGTAAAAAATAGATTCAAAAACATGATTCAATCTATTTGCTTTTAGGCTGGAATTTTGATTATAATCAAAGTATAACTTAATCGACTGTTCAGGACTTTTAAATGGAACATTTGCAAAAATTGAAAGAGCACAGAATGGGTTTATTCTGTTATTCACATGAACTTCAAGTTTCTTTAAATGATTATGGGTTTGATGAATTAAAGCAAGTTGTTCTAATGTATAAAGTGGAATCTTCAAATATTTGAGTCTTATCATAGGTTGTGTAATGGCTTTAATAAGTTGTGTAATATCAAGGTAATTACGAGAATGCCAATCAAGTGTAACTCTTTTAAGCGTATTGCAACTCTTTCTGATGAGACCAGATAATAATTTAATAGGAGTTGTAACATCATGAATGTTATAAGTACCATAAGAATATTCTAGGGATGTTAGGTTTGAAAAGGTCGAAGTAATAGGAAGAAATAAAGGGGAGTTGAGACCTTCGCAGTGTTTAAACTTGATTTTGTTGATATTTGTGCACTGAGCAAGTACATCTATGGCATCACTATTTAATTCACATATTGTATAATTGAAAAATTCAGCCTCACTTAATTCATGGTTGCTATGTATATCTTTAAATGTCACGCTGTTAAGTGAATGTTTTTGTTTCATAAGGGCTTGAACAGGAGGCGAAGCAAAGTTATTGCTGTTAATCAGAGAGAACTTTTTTAAATGCTTTTGAGAACGGATAAGATCCGCCAACACTTTTCCTTCATCTTCATGCCAAACGCTAACCTTAAGGGTTTCAATACTATGACAGTCTTGTGTTATTGCATTAAAAAGTTGGTCCTTTTTCATTGGCCATTGATAACTGCAATCAAGATAAGTCAAATTACTAAATATAAGAGTACATTCAGAAAAATAAGGAAGAACTGAGGAAGCTATCTGATCTTGAGATTTAAAATGTTGATTAAACAGATAGTCATAGATATTAAATCGGCGTAATCTCATCATATTCATTGCAAATATTTTAAGTAATTCAATTATAACATTTTTACAACAATCGTTTGCTATAGCCGAATTAAGAAATCGATCATATGGGAGTTCTTTAAGAAACGAAGGATAGTCAAAAAAAGGAGGTTTAGTAATCGACAGCCCAATCCTTTCATCATAACCTAATTTAAGAAAAGTCTCATCTGGTATGAATGCAAGATAGGTTTGGATCACTTTAGGAGATGGAGTAAAATTGTCATTGATTTTAAAGGGAGCCTCCCATAAAATTGGAACTGCACAGGTAGCCCAATACTTGTTAACCAAAAGACAAGAGTGTAAATCTTTATTAGTTGGAAGAAATCTAAAAATCGTTTCAAAATATTCTGGTGCAAACATTTGATCCATTACTATTAAAATAATTATTCGAGCGATTTACGTAGAGGTCTTTAGGCAATGATGTCACACAGCAATTCAAGGCAGAATGCATTTAGATTGCTAATGTTACGTTTTATACGTACGTACGTAATAGTGATCAACATCACATGATGTAAATACGTACGTAATAGAAAATTCCAAATTCAGACTTTATTAAAGGTTTGCATGATATCGATATAGATACGTATAGATATGAATTGACTAATTAATGTAATATCTCCAAATTTGTATGAATGTGCAATACAAATTACTAATAGATTATGCATTACCGATTACGAATAATAACGCTAGCGCTAGTGGCAGTATAATTCTTTAATTCTTCAGGCTTAATCTCTTAATCGCTGGAAGTGGATTTAAGTCAAAATTATTGTGCACTTTCTGTTTTTTTGTCTTAGTTTAATTTGAATTTATTCACATACGTAGTATGAAAGTTTTTAAAGTTGTGCAGCAATTTTGTAGTCATTCATATAAAATATTCAAACTTGGTCATTCAGTATTTTAGATTGTTAGCAATCCTTGAACGTTGCAAGATTAATTACCATAAGCCACAGGGGCATAAGGTACACTTAATCCTGTTAAAATCAACCTCTCGTTAAAATCAATCTCTCAGTGGTAAAAATTTAGTTCAGGCTACATAAATAATTATTTCTTTATTATCATACTCGCAAATATCAAAATAACTATCTAATCCAAATATACTTATACTAAAAAGGGTCATTACGTGAAATCCGACTAAAATTTAAATTTATCAGTCAATTAACCTTTATTTTTTTGCATTTAACAATTAGAGATGTTAAAATATTGAACCTCATAATAGGCAAATGTTAAATTGTTAGTAAAATTTTATTTTAAATTTTAAGAATATCACCTCTGAAGCTAATTTAGTAGTCAATGGCAATAAGTTATAAATGAAAATATTTTATTGAAACAATAAAAAATTTTTGAACAAATAAAATAATTTGAGAATCAAAATTTTTTCATAATACTTTTAAATCCTTTGGAACGCAATGTTTGGCAGATTAAATTGAATATCACTTTTAATACCGGCTAAATTCGCATAAATATTGTTATAAATAAAGAAGTATAGTCATATTTATATTGTGTTAATGTTGGTGTTGGAAGGATAGTAGATATTGTATGCAGTTTTATAATTGTGAGGGACCAATATGAGGTTGGTTCCAACGTGAGGTCAATTAATTGACCTCACGTTGGAACCAACCTCATGTTGGTCCCTCACATTATTACATCACTTATTTTAATGTGATCATTTTTAGATAGCACAAAATGAGCGCGATCCGCCCATATGTTTTTTTTAAAAAAATTTCAATAAAAATTCAAAATCCTCTCAAGAAGTGATTTTAGATCTTTATTTGATCTATCGTTGCAATCGAACATCACTACAATTATTAGATCTCAATTTTCGAAAATAAGTAGGATTTTTTCAATAGTATTTTTACTATGTTTAATTATAAATCGGAAAATAAAATAAGTTTCTCTGATTTTAATTTTTAACCCCTTAATATCGTCATTCGTAGGGATGTTAAGTAGTCAGACTATTTTAGTTTTTACAGTACAATTTATATGTAACCAACATAGTCGAACTAGCTGGTTACATATAAATTGTACTGTAAAAACTGAAATAGTCCGACTACTTAACATCCCTAGTCATTCGTATTATTGACTTTTATCCAAAATGTTATGCTAATAACTAAAATCAAGTCATAATACTTGTGCACTATTTTGATCACTGTGAATTTGCATCTAAGTTGATGCTTGAGAACACACTTTATCTCTATATTAAATGAAATAAATTTATATTATGAATCAATGTATGCTTGCTTATTATCGTTTCTATATATTTCGTGGTTTTTTTTTTTTTTATCAGATTTTGATAAATTCTGATAAAATATTTTCACTATCCTGTCGCAAAATACCATAAATTTCTTTTGCTATTTGTCGTTTTCTTCAGCACGTTACTGTATTTTCGTAAATATGCGATCATAAACCATTACATACTGTATTTGAAATTGTATTAAAACAGAGGTTCAAAAAAAAAAAAGTTTGATTTTATAGATTTCTTTTCCCAAGAAACAATCAACCGAAACACAAAATAAGATAAAAATAACAATCTACAAAACTTACTAATTAAGTGAAAAGGAAATATTTATCTCTGTAACATAAATTTTAATAAAATTAAAGTACTATAGTTTTACCATCCTAAATGCATGTTGCATAAACACATTTTTTACATAATTTAATTTGAACATAAATTTGAGAATTTGCTTTCAATTTCTATAATACTAATCGGCTTGCTAATATACTCTGAAAATTTTTTCGAGTCATATAACTTGCTAGTATACATTTCTTGTGAATGTATTTGTTTAATCTGTTCTGGTTTAATCTTATTAGCTTCCAAAATTTGGTTTTTAATTTCATTATCATCATCATGATCCATTTCATTTAACCAACGAGTGATTATTTCAATAATTTCTGTTGCAGTAGGTCGTTTATCAATATCTTTATCCATACATTTCATAGCTAATTTAACATAACATTCTGGTCCAAAACATTTAGGTCTCAATTCATCGATAATTCTTAATGCAAGATAATCATCAAACGGAATTCCATCAAATGCTCTTTGTCCGCTCGAAATTTCTGTTGCGATAACTCCAAGGCTATAAATATCTGATGCTTTGGTATATGATTGCCCCTTCAAAATCTCAGGTGCTATATACGGCAATATTCCACAAAATTTTCCTTCCTTTACTTTTTTAGAAAGCCCAAGATCAGTAATATATGCATCATGCAATCTATCTGCTTGCAAAATGTTTCCGCTGTGTAAATCCCTGTGAACGAGTTCCTGTGAATGAATTGACTCAAGATCCAATGTTATAGCATAAAAAATACTCAATTTATCTTTCCATTCTAATTGTGAAACTTCTACAAGATTTTGCCGTAACGAACCATTTGGTGCAACCTCCATAACAATTATATAATTACCATAATTATTTCTTGACAATCCAAAACAATTCAAGAACGAAGGATTCTCGTAACCAATTTCACAGTAATTCTTCATTTCCTGGACAAATTCTTGTACATTTACATTTGAATCACAAACAACTTTAAGTACAACATTCCACCACGTACTATTAATTCTATTAAACCAAGTTGCACCATATACAGTTGCGAATCCTCCTTTTCCAATTTCATTGATATCTCTAAATTCATCATAATCAATCCAAGATAATTTAA